TTTGTGGTAGTTAAAAGCCTATAATAGTGTCTTCATTCTAGTGTTCCCCACACTTCTATGAGATTAATACTAGGATCCCACAATCTAGAGAAATGCTTGCCTATTTTCCCCCAGTGTTTCTTGGAACATGACCTTATTGAGGGCAGAGACCTTGTTTCATAGTTACTGTATCTTTGTCAGGATATAGGCTTGGCACAAAACAGAAGCTCAAAACATGTTGCATGGATAGAAGGTGGGCAGAAATCTTGGATTAATCTGACTGACAGAACTGAGATTGCCACTTACTACCTGAAGTCCTTGAAGTACTAAATCTCCTTAAGCCTCAGTTTCTTCTTTGTAAAATGCAGATAATACTAATAACCTACCTCAGTAGGGTGTAGAAGAATATTTTTTTATTATTACCTATTATTAATTTGAGCAAATTTCCTGAGACTCCCCATTCAGAACTTGACTGCCCTGGCTGTTAATGAACTCAATTAAACATGGTCGTATGTGTGTATGTGCGCATGTGTGTGTGCACGCATGCATGTATTGTCACTTTGTCTTCCTCTATTGAAGAAGAAGAATAGAAATGGAGGAGGTGTTATTTGGACATTGATTTTCTATCAATTCCACTGAGTTAGATTCAGCCATCACTTTTATGGAATATGCACTGACAAGGGAAAAGGTGAAGTAACAAAGTTTTCCAGTATGAATAATCTTGGTTTTGGAGGCTAGCCCGAGGTCTAAGAAGAAAAACAAGTCAGTGCATTATTAGTTACTTGTATCTCATTTTGAAAAAGAACACATTTCATTGTTACAGCCACTTACAGAGAAGTTTGCATGACACCCTTTTGCTTCTGTGTTTTTGCTAAATCACTAAATGACTAACCTTCACATTCCTAATGTATTAACGTTGTCAAAGGATTCTTTTCAGGATTGTGTGTGTGGAGGAAGCTGTTATTGTTAAATAATGTGTAAAAAGTGACCACCAAGTGAAGAGCCCTTGATGTTGTAAAAAGAATGATTAAGTGGAATCTGAGGATTGCTGGTTATGAATGGATTATTTGGATATAGAAAGAAATTATTTTTAGGCATGGCATCCCTGCAAACCCTGAGGCTATGTGTTTTACAAACTAGACATTTGTGCACTAAATAAAAATTACCAGATGTTGGTGTCTGTATGTGACAGCTGGCACATGTGTGGTGCTCTAGAAGTCTGGAAGAAAAAGATGCTCACTTTTTTGCCATTCAAATACTAAAGGGCTAGTGAAGGTAAAATGCTATTGAAAAAAATTACAATGTTCTCAACTACCCAAAGATGTCCCATGTTTTGAATTGTTATCTGAAAGAAAGGCTTTGATCTTTTTTTCCCCTCATGACTCCATGCATGTTTGTGGCATTACAAATGTAACCCATGTTTCAACTGTAATTTATTGCATTCTTCCCTGAGGCTAGTCTCATTCTTTTAAAGGGTCAGCAGATACCATATTAAAGCACCAATCTGGGTACAGTATCCCATGAAGGTCCAATACAGAGTTAACTGTACAATAGGATTCATTACTTTTATCTTGCCCATACCAACACACCTCATTAATTTTTGTGAAATCATCAAGTGGATTCTCCTCTCTCCTTAGAAATTCGAGCTCAACTGGTAGAACAGCAAAAATGCCTAGAGCAGCAAATGGAGATGCGAGTTCAGCTTCTCCAGGACCTGCAAGATTTTTTCCAGAAAAAAGCCGAAATTGAGACGGAATATTCTCGGAACCTAGAGAAGTTAGCAGAAAGGTTCATGGTGAAGACAAGAAGCACGAAGGATCATCAGCAGTACAAGTAAGAGACACTTGACTCATATTCACTTTTCTAAGGTGATATCCTACCTTTTTGCCAGGCTTATTGGTTTTAGAATTTTCCATTTTTGTATAAGCCATTGATTGGCATATTCCTATAGATAAAAGCAACCCTCTGTACTTACAATTTATGAACATCAATTTATCCAATTTTAAACTAGTATTATCAACGTTTTTCTCTTTCTAGTGAATAATACAAGAAGAAAGAGTGTATGTTTATAAATTTCTTGATTACAGAAAACCAGGGTTTATATCTATCACAGGTAGATACTGAGTGGGCACATTGACAACAACAAGGTCTTTGCTTCTTCCAGTGAAGACCTCAGGATTTCTGTAGTGATATTATATGCATATGAGCAATAACAGTGCTTATGTTTATTCCCCACTCCTGTCATGCTCGTGGTCATTACAATTGAGACTGACCTAAAACAAAGGTCTTTGGTAAAATACTTATAATCAAGTGTAATTAAACCTTGAATTAATTATACTTAACTCATTTACAAAAATACATGCAGGTTTTTCTGGTAATTAAATTTACTTTATAATTTAAATCCTAGAGACAGAGAGACATGTAGACAGACAACTCCAGTAGGATGAACAAGTGCTACAGGGGCTAAGTGCAGGGAGCTAATGACAGACCTGAAGGAAATCCATTCAATATGGAGGTGGGGAAGGGAAGGTCAGGGGAAGGTCTGAAGAAGTGATATGTAAGTGACGACCCAAAGGACTAGTTGGCCAGTTAAGGGAACAAGTGCAGGATGTTCTAGGCAAGGAGAACGTCACACATAAGGGACTGGAAGGAAAGGAGTGTGGGGCAGCTTTGTAACAGAAAGTGGTCGGGTGGGAGTGGGTAGTCAGGTGCTGAGGTGTGTAGCTACTAGTGTAAATTGTATCAGTTCATGGAGTCCTGTGCATCAAACCAGGCAGCTTGAACTTCTGAGGCAATAGGAAGCCTTTTTGAAAGGATGAACAGCTCAGACCTGCAATTTAAAATATGGCAAAGACCATCAATAGCCTTGTGGACTAGAAGAAGATAGAATCGAGGGAGGAAGACCAATGGCCTAAACTAGCAACCCTGCTGGTTGAAAGAAAGAAACTTGTTTAGGAGATGTTAGAGATAGCGCAGTCTTTCTTTTATGGAAATACAGTGGGCTAGATAGTCTGAAAAGTATTTCTGCTACAAAAACTTGAGAAATGCTCATTAAAATATAATAGATATCATTTTAATTGTAAAACTGAACTCATAGGAAAGTAAGGAAAATTTTCAAGTCTTAAAAAAGCAAGAGGTAACTGTAAACCTAAGTGGCAGTTGTATCCACCCCCGAGTCCCACGTGGGGACAGAAGGTGAGGCTTCCCCATCACCAGCCCTGTTGTACTGCATCCCAGCCCACAATCAGGGTGAGCAGAACTCTGCTTGGTGAGATGATAAAACAGAAAACCACCTGTCTGCCTGCACAGGGTGCCAGCAAGGAGGCCTGTCTGCTCAGTTGGGGCTGCAGAAAAACTCACCGTTGGCTTGACATATTCATTTTATACCCTCCCATGGTCTTGGATCCTGCATAAAAAGTAGGGTGGGACTAGACCTTGTTACCTTTACAGAGGCAAATGCAGAACTATTCTGGGTACAAAATACCTTTTTTCTTTCGGGTGACTTTAATCTCTAGTATTGCTCTAGCATAGAAATAAATCTTAGTGATGGTTCCCAGGGTGAACAGATACCCAAAGTACTTGACAGAGATTGGAATCAGTACTACATGCACACCTAATGGTCCATTTTTAAAAGTGATTGCAGATAAGAAGAGAGCCCATTCATCCATTCAATAAATATTTTTTAATGTATTCTTGTATATTGGCAATCTATTGTGAACTGAAAACATACAGGTGCCCATGTACCTTAGTCAATCAGTAACTCACTCTTTCTTCTGGTTTGTTCACTTGTTTTCATCAAAATGTAAGCAGCTTGGAATTTTCTTTGACTAGAGTAAATTTATTATTGAATAGGAGCTGAAGATAGATGGATAATAAGTCTACAGAAAGGACTTGGGGGAAAAAATCAAAGACGGTCTTTATTGAAGAGTCAGACAGACCTGGTTTGAATACTGGCTCTACTGTGTGACTTTGGTCAGATTACTTAACCTTTCTGAGTCTCTATTTCCTAACTTGTAAAATGAGATTCTTAGGACCATTAAATGAGAAATGTGACAAAGTCCTTGATGTGACTGACAGCTGGTATTAGGGTATATACTCAACATTCCTTCTCCTCTTCACCAAATATATGTTAAATTTTGGATTGAGTGGATAGAAAATGTCAGAAAGGCTCTCATTGTCTGCTGTAGAACCACTGCCTGTTGTCTGATGGCTTGGAGGGAAGAAATGGCATTCTCTGGGTGGGGGATGTAACTCTTAGTGTGCCAGTGGGGAGAATGGGAGGCTTGTTCAAGGGTACAAGTGCCAGGACCCCAGGGCAGGGGTTTCTTCCCCTACAGCCATTCCTACTTCCATCATAAGTCTACCCCCTTTCTTCTAGAGAGGGTTTTGACTCGATAGGGTATTAAATCCTGAAGCTGACAGACTTAAGGGCAGAAAGACCAAACTTAATGATTTCTTTCCTAATTTAATAAATATTCAGACTCATAAGCGATCATGAATAAGATGATAACATGTTTCATAAAAAGGCACAGTGTCCCTGAGTTAGGATGTACCAGTGCCCCATTTTGCCATTTTACAGTTAGATTTTTAAAGTAAAAGAACAAAAAAACATAGTATTTATTTTTTTGAGCGTGGAGTTTTTCTTTTAAGATTTTTTTATGAGTCTTCTTTTGTGGATTATACTCACTTTTAGCTTTATTATCTATAATAAAACAAAGTACTTATAAATCTGAAGGAGTTTAATGGGCTTAAACAGGACATGTAGCAAGGCATTAGCCCATAAGCCAGTGTACCTCTTGGTCCTATTTATGAACCTTGAGACAATGTTACAAAGTTCTGATTCCCAGGAACACTTCTTGGAGGCTGGAGGTTATATATCAGGAGATTAATAACTATTCCTCAAATTTATGTCTCATGGAAAGTACACCTCGCCAGGTGTTTTCCAACAGCAGACTGGGCATTCAAAGCAGACTTTGTGTGCAGTGGCAAACCGCAGGCTCTGTGAGGCAGTAGTCAGCAAATTTTTATATAAACATGCAGTACTTTCTTCAATGGGGTGTTTAAAGCTGAAGGCCTCCTGAGTATGTTAGAGTCTCCTGGCCTTTGTCAGGAGTATGGGTTTGACCTGGAACGTTCAGTCCAGGTTTTTCCTTCCAAGCCTAGGGAACTGCTGGCTCGGTGCCATCACAGCCTGGAAGGCTGTCGTGCTGGCAGCTGAGTGTCCCACTACGAGCAATGCCCAGAACAGAGAGAACAGCAGGGATACCCATCTGACTCCTCAATTGCCTCGGCGACGTCTCTGAGCTGTGTAGGGGCAGTGTTGAAATTGATGGTAATTCTGCCTTTCCTCACTTCTTAGGAAAGACCAGAACTTGTTGTCTCTGGTGAACTGCCTGTATTTGCTCTTGAACCAAGTGAGGAGGGAAAACAGAGACCATGTGACCCTGAGTGACATCTATCTGAACAACGTCATCATGCGGTTCATGCAGATCAGTGAGGATTCCACCAGGATGTTCAAAAAGGTACCGACCGCCAGTCCTGCTGCAGTGCTTTCCTGGGACCACTCTGCCTATGTCCAGGCCTGAGAAGGGTCGTAATTGTACTCAGTAGATATTAGGTAATAAATAAATAAGTGAACATATATTTTAAAGACACAGAATAAAAAGTTAAAGCTGAGCAGGCATACTTACAGAGTTGTGAAGCACTGACTCTGTGACCTGAACAACGTGTGAGCAGAATTCTGAAGTGAGAAGTGCCACAAATTGCACTTCTGTCCTTAAGAACGGACTGCCTGCAGTTACGAAGAACCAGACCAGAGGGGAGTAGCCTTACATTCTGTGTTTTGGACTCATGAACAAGATGGCTACATGTGCTGCTCTCTTGGGAGAATGTCACCACAGTATTTTTGTACTCGCACCAGATGGGCAGTGGAGGCTACGAGAGAGTGAGATGAAAACTATTCCGTGGGGCACAGAAAATGCAGCCCCTGACATGCCAGAGAGCTTCCTCCCTCCCAAATCTATTAAAAAAATAGAAAGTGGGCTTTTAAGGCTTCTTATCATTGTTAGTACTCTCAGCCAACTCTCAGCAATTTTTTTGTTGTTTGGACATTTTGCTGCAGAACAATAACAAAGTTGGACCATTTCCTGTGTAGAGAATGCAGCTACTTGCCCAATAAGACTGACTTTCGGTTTTTATGTTTGTAGGACAAGGGTTCTCCACCCCCTCCCAGCTTTGTAATTGTGGCATTTGGTGCCTGTGTCTGTACCTCTATTCAGTAAGTAATTAGTTTCAGAAAGTGGGGAGGGGGGGAAACCACCTTGTAGATTAATGACATTTATGTTTAAAGGGACCCCTTAAAACAAAGATGTAGTATTAATTAGGCCAGCTGGAAAGCTCCTTGGTTGTATTTGATGTGTCCACATTAGATTTGATTTCTGGCCTAGAAATGGAACTTAGCAAACTCTAGGTTGTCTTTTGCTCCATTAAATGGGAAAAGAAACATTGGAAACAAAGGAGAAATTCTCAAAATTTGGAATAAGAGCATATTAAGAAGAGAAAAAATAGAGAAGTATCCTTTCTATCTTTAAAAATAGTTGAGTCTGAGCCATGAAAATGAAATGATTTTCTCACATGTCAGCCTTTCCACCAAGACCTCGTCATTGGGTTTAGGGGTTTTTTTTTTGTTTTGTTTTGTTTTTTTTTTGAGCATCTTCCATGAGCAGGAAATGGTGTTAGGTCTTGGGAAGGCAACATAGATGAAGAAAAACTAATCCTCATGTTTAAGGATGTCATAGTTTATCCAAATTTGGATGGCACTATATGATGCTTCCCAGTTATAGGGATTCAAGCAGCTATTCAGCCAGGGCCTCAGATCAGCACCTCAGTTGAGTTCATTCATTTATCCTTCCAACAAAACACCTTTAAAAGGCCTGGCTGGGAAAGCAGTGTTAAAAGACATGTCCCTGCCTGCAGGAATTCATTACAGTAATTAACGTTAAAGAGCCATACAGCCCACTATGGGAGCTTGAAGGCTGTAGATCCCAATCTTACCTGAGGGGTCAGGAAATTCTTCCCAGGGAGGGGCCACTTGAAGTGAGACCTGTAGGAGAAGGGGGCGGCCAGCTAGCAGACAAGCACAGTGAACTCTTTGAGGGGGAAGGGAAAGCAAAGAGTTTGTTGTGACTGGACCTGCGCTGTGTGGGAGTGAGTGCTCTGACCTGGAAAGGACAGTCAGAATAAAAAGGGACTTTGTATGTTTTGCTAAGATGTAAGGATTTGTATTTTGTAAATCCAAGTCAACGGTTTGATAAAGTTGCCGCAAACATAGGGCTGAGAGTCAAATAGATTTGGATTTGAATCCCAGCTCTTCTGCTTACTTGCTTTTTGATCTTGGGAGATGATTCCAGATTCGAAGGCGTGCTCTCCACTCTCTGAGGGAGTGGGGAAGGCTGGGCTGTGCCAAGGAAGCTGAGCCTCTGGGGCCCCGGAAGCGGGGTATGACCCTTTGAAGTTGTCTTCTGCCTAGGCCAGGAGGCCTCCCCTTTGATTTGTCTTTGGATTGGAGCTGCCTTTAGGGAGGGGCTGAGAAATCTTGGGGTGAGGCTGCTGCCTTTGGTGGAGGCTAATTCCAGAGGGTAATGCCCAGAGAAGGGTCAGCTGTGAGTTTCAACAGCCAACATTCCCAGTAGTCGGGAGAATAAGTTCTTGGCTCTTGAAGACAGACAGGGTCTGGGGAATCTATAGTAAATACAGTGCTTTCTTGCTTGCTACCTAGAAGGACTTCTTATCCAGATTTTCTGGGACTCAAGAATTATAATTCCTGGAAACTGCCTTTTTACAGTGAACTCCTGGTTACTCTGGCATTTAGTAGTGTGAGTGGTATTCTCACACCAAACCACTGCTGCCTGGCTGGAGACTTATCAATCAGGACAACCACAGGTACCCAGTCCCACCTCCCTCAAGCAAACCCAGCAGACTACATAGCCCACCTCGCCAGGTATATTATTGCTGGGAAAAGAAAGGACAAGAGAGGCAGAAGGCAAAAGGGAGAGACAGGAGCTTATTGAGGAGCCAGGCCAGCCCACGAGGACACATTTGTTATCTGAAAGAACAGGAGGTCAGACACATATTTATCAAGTCCAGGTCCCTTTAGATTAAAGAGCAAGACTAGACTTTTCTGCTTTTTTTCCCCAACACCCTGCCTTTTTCTTCTCCAGTTCTTCTGTTGTTATGGTTCCAGAAGCATATTTTCTATCAGAACAGAAAGAAATCATCAGATCCAGTCTGGAGTGATCTCTAGAACTGCTGTGGAATCTTCAGTGAGCATCATGCTTGTCCTTCTTGGGAGACATTTTTGAGATGTCCTTATTTTTCAAAACTGTCCCCACATCTATCTGGAGAACTAGATAGATGCTGTGTGCTTCACAGTTTCAGTCTCTTAAACAGCTCTATCGTATTCACCTCAGTTAGTGATAGAGAGACTGTTCTGTCAAATAGAGACTTTGGAGCAGCTCATTATAGGAGCATTTTTTAACAAGATACTTATAGGAATACCTAATTCCATGCATAGGTATAGGGAACAGCTTCAGGCTTATATTTTAATCCCATCAGAACCAGTTAATAGAAATAGTTGTCTGTGCTTGACAAAGTTTTCAGCAGGTAGAAAAAGAGATTTTTAAAAACAAAACAACAGAACCCAATTACTCAAATATTGCTTATTTCAGATTTAGGCCTTTAGAGCTGTAAATGAAGCCTATTGGTCAGAATAATATAGTGATTCATCTTTTAAGCTCTGAAATCAGATATTTTGGGTATGAATCTTGGCTTTGCCACTGAACTTGGGAATATTTGTAAACCTCTTAAACCTCAGTTTCTGCATTTATAAAATAGATACAGTAACCTATCTCAGATAATTGTCTAGAAGATCATGAATTATACATGGAAAGCCACTTAGGCCAGTCTCTGGACTTAGTAAGTCCTAACTAACCATTATCTTTATTATTATCTATACAAGTGCTTATTCCATGTGCCTGTAATAATTATGTAATATGAGATTACAGTAGACATTATTCCAAATGTGTCCTCATTCTAAGGAAAATGTGTGGCACAGCTGTGATAAACACACCCAGATCATCACATGTTATTTATATATCATCACACTGTGAAATTCCGAACCATATTTGTAAGTGGACTCAGAATGCCCTCACAGGATCTGTGCTTGGAGCTGAGTTAAAATTCAGGTCCTCACACCCCAACAATTCATGGGAAATCAAGGACTAAGCTGGTGAATACATGTGTCGGCCAACCCCTCTGTGACTCTCAGGTCCCCTCCATCTATTTCTTATGAAGAGTCTTAGCTTTGAGGCTTCATTGATTTCTTCATTCATTCAACCATAAGAGGTATTGAATTCCAGGCCCATCGTTAGATACGGATGGTGTAAACAGGAACAGAGTAGGGCTGTACTCTTAACTCTAAAGTTCTGCTTTGCTATTTTAGGAGACAGCCAGAAATTGGAGAATCATAGCACACATGGGTTTGCTTCATTATCAAACCTCACTTCTTTCCCAAAGAACGAGGGGTGGTGAGGTGCCTCTTGCCCTGTTCCCCAGCCTTCCTTCCCAGAGTGGTGAGATCTTTTTGCTGCCTTCTTTCTATTATTCATGCTGAAAGAGAGTGGTCTACATCCAGTGTGGTGCTACAGCCAAGAAACGTGCAGCTCATACGCTATGCTTAAAAATGTAATTAATGCTAGCAGTCACAAATTCAGGAAAGACCACAGCCAACTTGTGGTAATCATTGTATTTAAGCACCTTATCACATGATTTTATTTTCCAATTTTAAGAATGTTAATAAAAGTATGTAGTTTAAAGGAAGTACCATAAAATGGTAACATTTGGATATGTTAAATCTTCTCTGGGTTGTTTAAATTATCTTGACGTCTGTCATTTTGCCATGGATTGTTTCAAATTATTAATGTTTCTATCCTTCCTTGGTTTGCCTACATATGTGCTGCGCAAGTATAATTAATTTTGTTCCTTCACCAGTAATGCTGACATCTGTATGCTACCACTTAACTGAATACTAGCTGTGCACCAAGCACTCTGCTGTATATTTTCACACATTAGCTCACTCTTCCTTACAGCTGCCTAGTAAACAGGTACGAGAATCCGCATTTAGGGATGAGGAAACAAGACTCAGAAATATAAACTGCAGAACCATGCTGGCTGGTATGCATTTTGTCTTTGCCTGTAAGTCTCAGAGTTCATAGTTACTATCACTTTGTTGGAGTTATTCAGTAGGAAGTGGAGCTGTGACTCAGTGCATAGGTCAGAGACTTCTGAAAATGGGACACTGTGGTTCCTGGCCTTATTCATTTTTTTATGAAAATCCTGAAGAACAAGAGTTCTGGATGACACAGCAAAATCTGTCAGTCATCCAAGTTATGGGCAGGGATTCAAGCAGCAGAGACAGGCCCCAAGCCATTGAGAATTATCTGATTTTGCCATAAATACCATAGGT